ATCTCAGTCGGCATTTGATGTTAAAAAAGATGAAGGGAATTGAGAACGCAGCCTCCGTGGATAGATTCCGCGGGGAAGGGCCTGCTAAAGAAGCAGTCTAGATTCTGGCGAGCATACCGAACAGCTCAGTCGAACAGCACATTTGACAAGTATCGGTTGGTTCGAAATGAGTGCAAGCTACATCATAGGTTGGCCCCGCTTCAGTATGAAAAGGACTTAGCTAATACTGCCCCGAAAAACCTCAAGAAATTCCTCGCTTACATTAAACGACGCTGTGGTGCAAACTCGCCCATACCACCATTGCTTCGAGGAGATGGGACCCATGTCTATAGCGATTATGACAAGGCATGCGTGCTTGGTGAGCAGTACTCAAGCGTCTTTGTCCGCGAAACACACGCTATGCAAACAATTAGCTTCAAGAGTCTCTGAGGAATGTTGTCTAGATTAAATTCCTTTCACTGAGTCCCAAGTTCTCCGGTTGCTAAGCGAGGTAAACCTAACTAATGTTTCCGGGCCAGATTCTGTTCATCCAAAATTGTTGCACGAATTGGCAGTGGAACTCAGTGGGCCTCTGACTCGTGTGTTTCAGAATTCACTTAACAGCTGTATCTTACCTACCGAATGGAAGGTTGTTGTCTGCCCGATATTCAAGTGCAACATGGTTTTCGCAGAGGATGTTCGTGTAAGACGAACTTGCTGGTAGCTCGTAGGTGCTTGGCTGAAGCCGTAGACAGTAGACATGCGGTGGCCAAGGCCTTTGACACTGTCCCCCAAGCGCGACTCTCACTGAAGTTGAGATTGTATGGAATAGCTGGTCGCGATCTCCAGTGGGTGTCAGCTTTTCCGGATGGACGGGAACAGTGTATTCGTGTACGAATCAGTCTTTCGTTTCTACAAGCTGTACTTAGCGGCGTTCCGCAAGGCTGTGTCCTAGGTCCGCTGTTTTTCTCAGTCTACGAGAATGACTTGCCGGAGGAGCGTGAGAAAACATCGCTCTTATTTGCTGATGACCTAAAGCGCTGGAATATTGTTGATATCCCTGGAGGTTCTATGGCTCTTCAACGAGCTCTGGATAGACTCCGGGAATGGTCTGTTTGTGGTTGCTGCCCATAACCCGGGCAACGTGTTCAGTGCTGCGTATGGGAGCGTCTCCTTCATCCACAAGTTATGCGCTTGATGAGAGTGAAATTCCGCAAGTGACTCATCAGGTTGATCTAGGTGTCGTCTACTGTTCACACTACACTCTGGAGACAACTGGAAGAAGGCGGCTAGTAAAGGATTCCGGATGTTGTGGTTTATCCGCTGTACTTTGGCACCATAACCGCTGATGTGTTTGGGAGCTCTTCTCAGAGTATGTGCGATCCCACCTAGAATATTGCGTCTAGGTCTGTCCACCATGCCTTGTCCGGGACAAAATGGCACTAGGAGCCAGTGACCATGTCTGCATATGCTTTCGATATGCTCGAACTAAGTGTCTTCAAGATATCGCTGAGGCCTGTCCAAATATTTGGCGGGTAGACTTTAACGCAATACGAGACAAAGCTTCAGTTTTGCGTTGTGCGATCACCGTGGCTGGCACCGTTGAGACAGCCTCGGAGAAATTTAAGACACCTCACCGAGATCTCTGCTCTCCACATCCCACTCACTAAGAGAAGGGTGACACGGACGCAGCCTCCATTGATAGATCATACAGGTAAAAACCTGCTCAGGAAGCGCTCTAAGTGCCGGCGAACTTACCAAGCGGCTTCATCAACCAGCACCTACGAAAGCCAACGAGCGGTACGAAATAAATGTAAGCATAATCTTAGAACACTTGGTCTTCAGTACGCGGAGGATTTTGCTAACGCAGCCGTAACAAATCCAAAGAAGTTCTTTGCTTGCGTAAAGAGACGTAGCGGTACAAACTCGTCTATACCGGCTTTACTCCGAGCGAACGGGACCCATGGGCATACCGACTATGATGCTTGTATACTTAGCGAACAGTATACTGGTGTGTTTTCTCATGAGGCCTCTCTACCTCAGGTTGAGCTGGTCACAAAAGTTCCGGAGGATTCTTGACTAACTGAAATCAGCATAACGGAGAAACAAGTCTTCGGGCTATTGCAAGGGCTAAATCATTCCAAAGCTTCTGGCCCTGATTCAGTTCATCCGAAGCTGATGCATGAATTGGCCGCTGAGCTAAGTGGCCCTCTGACATGCATGTTTACAATATCACTCGACAGCTGTGCCTTACCTTCGGAATGGAAGAAGGCAATCATCTGTCCGCATTTTGCCCGCGAACTACCGGCCTGTCAGCTTAACAAGTGTAGTAGTTAAGTTGTTTGAAAAATTGGCCAGGGATTCGGTGGAGAATCACCTGGTTAAGTTTAACCTTCTCAGTGCGGCCCAGCACTTGTAGCTCGTGAAAGCTGGGCTGAGGCAGTATACAACGGTCACGCCATCGACGTGCGTTTCCTTGACTTCTCAAAAGCCCTTCATACTATCCCACATCAACGACTCTCATTGAAGTTGAGATCGTACGGGATATCTGGAGCGGCCCTTAATTGGGTTTCTGCTTTCCTAGAGGGCAGAGAACAGTGTGTTCGCGTGGGCCGTAGCCTTTCGCTTACACAATCTGTTCTTAGTGGCGTTCCGCAATGCTCGGTTCTAAGGCCGTTGCTTTTCTCAATTTATGTCAATGACCTACCCCACGAGCTTGGAGTACCTTCGCTATTGTTTGCTGATGACCTCAAGTTCTGGAATATTGTGGATATCCCTGGTGGCTCTGAGGCAATTCAGAGGGCTTTGGATAGGCTCTGGGATTGGTCAACCTTATGCTTGATGCCCATAAATCAGGAGAAATATTCTGTCCTCCGCATTGGAGGTGCTATTCCCCCACGCGCTATGTAGTTGGTAAAAGTGCTCTCCCTGTTGTCACTCAGCAGTTTGGTCAAGGTACCATCCATACCTCACTGCTTCACTCTGGGGAAAATTGGAGGAAGGCTGCATGTAGAGGGTTCCGTATGATGTGGTTTATTCGCCGCTCTTTCGGTGTCCTAACGGCCAATATTTCTGTGAAGCTTTTTTCAGCTTTTGTGCGATCCCACTTAGCGTACTGTATCCAGGCTTGTCCACCTTGTCTTGGAAGGGACATAATGGAACTGGAGAGGGTTTTGCGAGTGGGTACAAGGTTAGTGCAGGGATTACGGGGGTAAACGTATCCCGAACGTTCGCGTAGCTTGGGTATGTACTCAGTGCACTACGGCAGAATTAGGGGAGACTTGATCCTCACTTACTGTATCTTAACGGGTAAGGTCGGTCCAGACTTGTTCTGGCTTTTTAGTCACGCCAACCTCCCTAGTCACCGAGGTCACCCGTTAAAGCTTCACAAACTGCGTTTTGATCGGGTAAGCACGGAAACTCGCTTGTCGCGTCGAGCTATTGAACGTCGGGACTCACTTCCGGCGCACGTGGTTAGGGAGTCTACGGTAGAGGGTTTCGAGCGTCAGTTAGGTGCTCTTGGGTTGCAGTACCAAACCTTCTCCTAACCGACTTGTATCTTCAACATTCGCTTCGTTCTTTTTTAATTTTCTTCTCACCTTAGTATTATCATTATTTAGCCGACATTCCTCCTATTGTTTTATTAGCTTACCCTTCACTCTTTTACTTCACATAAACCGGCCTGGCAGGGGCTGCTGGGCAGTAAAATGTGGGCAGTAATTGGTTGGACAGGGTGTGATGCGGTCTGTTTTAGGCGTTCCAACAACTCAAGCAGACGTATCAATTCCCGATTCGACGATGCCCAAAAGAGGGAACATTCACGGGATCCTCCTATCGTTCCGGTCCCAACTAAACTTGAACTTGAACTTGAACGGGTGTTGCTTGTCGGTACTAGGTTGGGCAAGGGATTACGAGGACAAAGGTACACTGAATGCCTACTTAGTTTAGGGATGCCGTCAATGCACTATCGAAGGGGTAGAGGGGACCAAATCTTAACCTACCTTATTCTGACTGGGAACGTTGGCCCTGACTTGTAATGGCTATTTAGTCATGCTAGGTTAGCTGGTCTCCGCTGGCATTGTAGGAAGCTGGACAAACCGCGGTCCGATCGAGTTAGAGCAGAGACATGGTTAGCACGTCGACACCGAGCGCTGGAACCTGCTTCCAGAAAATGTTGTCAAGGAAGCTATGGTTAAGGGGTTTGAGCGTCAACTAGACGCTCTTAGGTGGTAACACGAAACCTTTCCTTTTTCCTGACACTTTCCCATCTTCATACTTCGATTCTATTTTCTTTACTTTTTCTCGCCGTTGGCATTATTCTCTTCTTTTAACTGATTGCACCCAATTTCTTACCTTTGCTTTTTCTTCCTCTCTTACTTCTTCATAGCTGGGACAGCTAAGGTAAGGAACGCGGGTTATAGTGTCTGACAGAGAGTTAGAACCGCTGCGAATAGGACCTTAACACGATTGCTCACGTTCAGGTTACAAAAGGTGAAAATCAGCAAACCTGTCCGATGACACGAACGGAGGAATAGAACGCTGATCGTAGATAGAGATCCGACAACCGATGCGAAGCACGCGCACAACACTCGAAGGCTGCACAACGTCACCGAAACCAGAAGAACGAAATTCGAAGAAGAGTATGTATGTTGTTGTTAGTTAAAACAAATGTACAAAAAGTGACGGAATATAGAACAGGAAGTTACAAGGAAAAATGTGAAAAATTTATAAACACTACGGGGTATTGCATTGGTGGATCAGGGTGTTTTTTAGGGTGTTTTCCTTTTAGACCCACCAAGAAGTCGGAGCACCCTATCAACTCCTGGATCGACGACCCGCCCAAGATGGAACACTTACGGGATTCATCCTATCGTTCCAGTTCCACTTGAACTTGAACATGATTACCGTCACAAACGGAAGTCAAATGCCACAACAGTACTCTTAAAAATTCAGGTGACCTGCTGCTTATGTTGTAAGGATCAATATAATGTATTTGCACACATGCTACGTTAGGATAAATTAATTTTATCGACCATCGGCTGATCGACTGGTGGAACCCTACGTTGCACGAGGCTAACGGTACCAGATTAGCAACGCTGCGCTTGCTGTGATATGGATTCGTACGATGTTATAACTAATCAGCCAGTTGTCATTGATACTGTAAGACTTTGTATTTTTCATCATGCATTTCCATTTATGTAAACTTTTTACACGTTTGGCAACTAGTTCTGTATCCGTTCATGCTTTTATTCCGTTTTATTTTCCGAGTTCATGCGCAAACGATGGTGCTGGACTGTTCTATTCAATTGCTCGTGTTCGGTTTATATTTTATGAAAATGGGACCTCTCCTTGTTTATTTTATGTAAAATCGGGATACGTGAATTCGTCTGAACTCGCATATACATGAGTGATATATTACCAACTACACGCTTTGCAATTTCATATACCTATCGATATGAGTAAAAATAATAAATAATGTGTCATCTGTACGCCGTAACGGCACTTCACTGCCGCGCGTCCACCACAAGTCTCACGCGGGCTGAGTATACCGCGGATCTATCTCGCAGTTTGGCGGTGGGCACTTTCGTTTCGTATCTCCTCGAGCTAACGTTGCAACCTCCTTTGCATCAGTTCGTGGACCTCCAGATTAGATATATGAGCAACCAACTTCCGTCTACCTTGGATCTTATTTTTGCGAAGTCAAACGGCTGTCCTCTAGGAGCCAGTGACCATATCTGCATATGCTTTCGATATGCTCTAACTAAGGATCATTAAGCTGCCGCTGAGGCATGTCCAAATATTTGGCAGGCAGATTTTAACGCAATACGAGACAAAGCTTCAGTTTTGCGTTGTGCGATCACCGTAGCTGACACCGTTGAGACAGCCTCGGAGAAATTTAAGACACCTCACCGAGATCTCTGCTCCTCCCATCCCACTCATTAAGAGACAGGTGACACGAACGCAGCCTCCTTGGATAAATCATACAAGTAAATACCTGCTCAGGCAACGGTCTAAGTGCTGGAGAACTTACCAGGCGGCTTCACCAACCAGCACCTACGAAAGCTATCGAGCGGTACGAAATAATTGTAGGCAACATCTTAGGACTCTTCGTCTTCACTACGAGGAGCGTTTGGCTGACGCAGTCACAACAAATCCAAAGTTTTGCTTTCATAAAGAGACGTAGCGGTACAAACTCGTCTATACCGGCTTTACTACGAGCAGACGGGACCCGTGGGCATACTGACCATGACAAGGCTTGTATACATAGCGAAAGGTATACTGGCGTCTTTTCTCTTGAGGCCTCTCTACCTCAGGTTGAGCGGTTCACGAAAGTCCCAGAGGATTCTTTCGTAACCAACATCAGCATAACGGCGACAAGTCTTCGTGCTATTGCAAGGGCTAAATCTTTCCAGAGCTTCTGTCCTTGATTCCATTCATCCGAGGCTGATGCATGAATTGGCCGCTGAGCTGTCTGACATGCGTGTGTACAATATCGCTCTACAGCTGTGCCTTGCCTTCGGGATAGAAGGAGGCAATTATCTGTCCTATTTTTAAGAGCGGTAACAGAGCTCTGCCCGCGAACTACCGGCCTGTCAGCTTGACGAGCGTAGTATTCAAGTTGTTTGAAAATTTGGTCAGGGATTCGGTGGAGAATCACCTGATTAGGTTTAACCTTTACTTGTATCCCGCGAAAGCTGAGCTGAGGCAGTAGACAACGGTCACGCTATCGACGTGCTTTTCGTTGACTTCTCGAAAATCTTTGATACTGTCCCACATCAACGACTCACCTTAAAGTTGTGATCGTATGGGATGTCTTGGGCCGCCCTTTAATGCATGTCTGCTTTTACAGAGGGGAGAAAACAGTGTACCAGTGGGACGTAGCCTTTCGCTTAGACAAGCTGTTCTTAGTGGCGTTTCGCAGGGCTCGGTTTCTTTTCGCAAATTATGCCAATGACCTACCCCGGAAGCTGTTGTTTGCTGATGACATCAAGCTCTGAAATATTGTGGATATCCCTGGGGGCACTGAGGCAATTCAGAGATCCATGGATATACTCTGGGATCGGTCAACCTTATGCTTGATGCCTGTAAATCAGGCGAAGTGTTCTGTCCTCCGCATTAGAGGTGCTATTCCCCCCCACGCGCTATGTAGTTAGTGGAAGTAGAATCCCTGTTATCACTCAGCAGGTTGATCTACTTATCGTCCACACTTCAGTACTTCACTCTGGGGACATTTGGAGGAAGGCTACTTGTAGAGCGTTTCGCATGATGTGGTTTATTCACCGCTTTTTCTATGTCCTAACGGCCAATATCTGTGAAGCTGTTCCCAGCTTTTGTGCGATCCCACTTAGAGTACTGTATCCACAGATTGTGTATAATATATATAATATATCCTGGCTTGTCCACCTTGTCTTGTAAGGGGCAAAATGGAACTGGAGAGGGTTTTGCGAGTGGGTACAAGGTTAGTGCAGGGATTACGGGGGTAAACGTATCCCGAACGTTCGCGTAGCTTGGGTATGTACTCAGTGCACTACGGCAGAATTAGGGGAGACTTGATCCTCACTTACCGTATCTTAACGGATAAGATCGGTCCAGACTTGTTCTGGCTATTTAATCGCGCCAAGCTCCCTAGTCACCGAGGTCACCCGTTAAAGCTTCACAAACTGCGTTTTGATCGGGTAAGCACGGAAACTCGCTTGTCGCGCCGGGTTATTGAACGTCGGGACTCACTTCCGGCGCACGTGGTTAGGAAGTCTACGGTAGAGGGTTTCGAGCGTCAGTTAGATGCACTTGGGTTGCAGTACCAAACCTTGCCCTTCTCCTAACCGACTTGGATCTTCAACTTTGCATTCGTTTTTTAGTTTCTCACACTGTGGTATTATTATTATTTTGCTGACATTCCTCCTCTTGTTTTATTAGCTTATCCTTCATTCTCTTACTTCACAAAAATCAACCTGGCAGAGAATGCTGGTCAGGAAAATGTGGGCAGTAATTGGTTGGACAGGGTGTGATGCGGTCTTTGTTTTAGGCGTTCCAACATCTCAAGCAGACGTATCAATTCCCCATCCAACGGTACACAAAAAAGGAATATTCACGGGATTATCCTATTGTTCCAGTCCCAACTGAACTTAAACCGCGAGAACGCCCACCCCTAAGCGGATTCGCACCCGCGCCGCAAGATTACGAGACAAGCTCCTTACCTCTAGGATATCGGCCAATGTACACCATACGTAGCAACATCGCATTACAAAAGAAATAATTCATTGACGCGAACCCATTTGACTTCTTTTGTAGTCACCTTTCCCGCTCTTCAATCCTTTGTATCCAGCTGTGTAGCTTGTCCTCAACCTCCAGCTTTGTATATGCGTCTCATCAACAGCAGTACATCAGCCATCTGAACTGATGCTTCGTTGCCATACAACCGTGAGGAGCTATGAAATAAAAAAAATAAGAAGATGGAGGGAAAGGGGATTTACCTGAAAACCTTATTGTCCTAAGCAAACATTCAGCGTCAAGGCGCCTACACCTTGTGTTAACAACATACCGTCACAAACAGCTGGCTATCGTGCAAAGGTAAGGCGGCATCGGCGAGACAGCTTCCTTGCGGCTTTCACTGCCACGCGTCATAATCACCCAGTACCCCGCAAATAACTCAGCACCAAACACACTTGAAACTGGCCATCCGATTAGGAGACGGCTGCAGACGCGCCACTGGTGTCTACTGCGAGCCATGTCCTGGAAAGTCTCAAGCCAAGCACAAGGCGAGTCACGTGGACTCCAGCCCGGAAGACTAGACGGATCAACGGCACCCAGTTTGGTCGTCAGTGACTTAATTGCCCGCTGCCAAGTCAACTTCTGTCCACCTCGAGCCTTGCGCCACCCTACACCTGGCAGACTAAGAAAGGCCCACCTAGGTAAGCGGTGACAAGGCATACGTAGCACGTGCTTGAGCCAACGCAACTTACTCAGTGCTGTTGTTTTAGGGAGCTAGCATGATTATCACTTCCCAGTACTCGCCTATTCATATCATCGACGCGGACACGCTGGTGCCATCCGACACCAGCAATGCTTCGCAGACAACGATAATCAAAGAGTTGAACGCGCCTCAGATCTTCAGAATGATGGGGCCAAGTCTCACTACCATAGAGCAGAACGGCCCTCACTGTGGCCTTGTATACACGGCCTTTCAGATGGAGGGAAACTCCCTTCTGTCGCCAAAGATGCCGCAGATTCAAGAAGGTAGCTCTGGCTTTTGCAATGGGTGAGCTGACGTCAGTTTCTATGCGCCCATCATTGCTGATGCAGCTGCCAAGATAAGTGAAATGATCAACCACCTCGAGTTCCTCGTTAGCAAGCGTCAAGGCGTCATCAAGTAGCTGATGGTCCTGCAGCAACACTTTGGACTTTGAAGGTGCGAAGTGCATACCAAATAATGGGACCACTCTGATCAGGCTATTCAGGGTTGATAGTGCAGCCCCAACATCGTCGAAAAGCAAGACGATGTCGTCTGCATAATCTAGATCAACTAACTTTCCACCAGGTAGCTCTTCAACGCCTACATCGTGAGATTCCGCAAGGGAACACTCCATGACAGAATCCACGACGAAATTGAAAAAATGGGGAAATTGGACAACCCTGACGAATGCCACTTGTGGTCGGAAAGCTATCCCATAGGATACCATAGACCCTGACGCGGCCTGTAATGTTCGAGTATAGAGCACGAAGGATGTTCATATATTTCGTGGGAACACCCTTCCGCGCAAGTATTTCGAACAGAATCGATCGATCGACTGAATCGAACGCACACTTGAAATCGAGGAACACAGCTATTGTCGGTTTGCAGTATGTGTTGCGCTGCTCTAGCACCTGCCGCAAACTGAATATATGGTCTATACAGCCACATCTTGGGCGGAAACCGGCCTGCTCTTCCCTAATCTGAGATTCCTGTTCCGCAGTGAGGCAACGAACGATAACTGAGGCCAGTATTTTTGTCACAACTGGCGTTAGGCTAATACCTCTGTGGTTATAACAGTCTGTGCGACTGCCCTTCTTGTATATTGCCACTATAATCGATTCGCTCCAATTAGCCGAGACACTTCCTTCCAGATACATTCGAATAAGGTCAGTGCTTTGCAGAGGACTTCACCTCCATCCTTTAATAG